TTTGAAAAGTAAAATTTTAATGAATTTGAACTTATTTTTTTTCTAGGAAATGTTTTGAGACAAAAATGAAAGAATTTCATAGGGAACTGAGTACTTATGTACATATCTGTATTATATCTATTTAGCTATTTAAAATTATTGAAAAAGGAGATTGCGTAATCATATTTTAGTCAGTTGTTATGATGCTTCTAGTTTAACTTTTCACATTTATATAAAATCTGCAGCCAAAAAGCCATAAACACTAGGGATAAAATGAATGATAATGTAAGCAAGGCTTAATATTAGTAAATGCTTTTCTGTAATAAACGACTAAATTTCTTACTGTTCTGTCTTTTTATAGGCATTTCAATTCTAATGAAAACAATTCTACTTTACTTGGTAATCATTGCATTTTCTTCTTCAAAATAGTTTATCATCATTCTTTACATCTGTATTTATAAGTCTTGTTCTCTAGCCATTTCAAGTTTTTTACTTGAATCACTTCTAACTCGGTGTCCATGATTTCTTCTTAACACACGGTTTTCTCTGGAGTTACCGAGAAACCTCTAAACCTAGCTGTCTGGCTTCTCTCTTAGCCTGGAGCTTGGTTCCTACATCTTTTGGTTAGAGTTACTGTGTTACATTGATTTGTGAGGGAAATAAAACCAAACAACTTTCTGTTAAGTGAACATTTTTTATTTGGAATTAGAAAAATATTTTCAAATTGGAATTTTAACGTAAGATTTATAAGATGACAGTAACAAGTGTTAGACTACTGATATATGGGACAAATATGGCCCTAAAAGGGGGTAGATAGCAGCAAGTAAGGTGCTAAGCTTCAGACAATGTTCTACCCTTGTGAGAAATGTTGTTGGTGTGCCCCGCGGCCCCTCCCCCCAAAGTAGAAAGGCTGAGTTAATAATAAAAAACACTTCCTTTTCACAAGCTTGGGATCTTTTGGCCCTAAAAGCTTAAATGCTTGCCTGGAACTGAAAGGTTGACAGCTTAGACGTGTCCAGTGGTTCAGAACGTGAAAGTCTGAAGGTGCCCTGCTCCCCTGGAAAACACTGTGAGGCAGCTCTACTCTTTCCCACGGGTGGCTCAGTCCCACTTGAGGGCACTGGCGACAGCAAAAGGGAGTCACTAAGCTCACTACCTGATCTTGGGCATGCCTGGATGGAACCCTATGTCTTCTGAATCCCAAACTGGATCTTTATCAGCAATCAATACTCCTTCAGATTGTGGTCTTATTAGAAAGGAAAGTTAACACATCGAGTTCTTGATGCCATATTGTGAATTATGTAAACATTTTACAGTAGCAGGGCAAGAAATACTAGATATTCTTGAAAGCTTTAGTGAGAAATGAAAAATTATTCTGCACATTTCTATTAGGGTTGCTGTGAGTTGGAATTGACCTGATGGCAATGAGATTTCATATTTGGAACCCTGGTGGCACTTTTGAATAAGTGTTGGTCTGCTGAACCCATCAGCTGCTCCATGGAAGAAAGACGAGGCTGACTGCTCTTGTAAAGAGTTACAGCCCAGAGCCCTTATGTGGGTAGGGTCACTGAATTAGGATCTACTCCATGACAGTGGGTTTGGTTTGGTGTAACCTAATTGTTATGACCCCCGGTGGTGCAATGATTAACCTCAAGGTTGACTGTTTGAACCTACCTAGTGACTCTTTGGGAAAAAGGTTGTGTGCTCTGCCCCTGTAAAGATTAGAAAGCCCCGGGGGCAGTTTTGTTCTGTCACAGGGAGTTGCTGAGTCCACAGCCCCCAACAGCCATCTTATCATTCATTAATGTAGAATGAAGTATTTTGAAGAGTAAGATAATATGGAGACCAGCTCTTCTCATACATTATGAACAGATTTCCGGGGGGCATGGTCTGCACTGAGAAAGCTTATATACAAAGGGGATAGCCAAAAGTTAAGGGTGAGGGGGTTCCTCAAGTATGGACACTCCAGGGCCCAGATCTTTATTAGGGGCAGGCTTAAATACCTTCCCTGCCTGCAGCCTGCAACACATGACAGGTTTACACACAAAGGGACAGTTCACCATTTGAAGGTTACAAAGAAGGATTAACACATCAGCCAAGTTATTCAGATAGGAGAAGATGAGGCTGGGAGCATGAAGTAACTGATAAATTTGCAGGCTGCTGCCTTCTGCAGCTTTAGTCAGGGAACAGGAGACAGCAATTGTTTATTTTAGGCAGAGAGACAGGCCAGCCATTGCTTCATCAGCTCCCATGGGGGAGACATTAGCATTCTCCCGTGGGCCATGAACCGTTGAAGTTGGTGGTCCTATCCTATTTGCTTAAGGAGTAAACAGCTTTTCCCCACAGTACATGCCTGAAGAATGGTGATGTTATATAAAACTTGCTTTTATTTCAACCTTCCTATGCCCCAAGTAAAGTATAATAAAGTGGTCAACTGAAAAGAGGATGGGAGAGCTTGGTATACAAGGGGGATACTAAAAAAAACAAACAAACCCCCAAAACACAAATTTTTTCCCCCCAAAGCTACGTATTAAAATTTTTTTCACCTTCAAAGTATTCTTCATTACACTTAATACATTTGTCAAATCTGTGATTCCATTCTTGGAAACTTTCAAACTCATCTGTTTGCATGGCTGACAGCAGCTCCCCTGTTTTTTTTCTTCACCACTTCTATGTCATCAAATCACTGTTCTTTCATGTCCCTCCGCATTCACGGAAACAAAAAGAAGTCTCATGGAGCAAGGTCAGGTGAGTCAGGTGTGTGGGGCACGAGAGGCATGCTGTTTTTTTGTCCAAAACTGGTGTACTGAGATGGCTGTGTGAGCAGGTGCATTGTTGTGGTGGCAAAACCAGTCCTCTGTCTGCCACAAATCAGGCCTTTTTGTCACACATTGTTATGTAATCTTTTCAGAACCTTTATATAGAAAGCTTGATTAACGTCTGATCTGGTGGAATGAACTCCAAATGCACTATCACCCCTCACATCACATCCGTTTTTTGGAGGGGTGGTATCCCCTCGTATGTTAGGAGCAAGGAAAAGATAGTCATTGTGCATAGTGATGTATGTGGTAAGATTGCCCTTGAGATGGGTGATTTTGTTTAGTCATTTGATTATCTGTCTGGCTGTGTGAGATTGTCTAGGAGCCTGAAGCTGCATGGGTGAATGTGCAAAGAAGTTGGGGTCCATCAGGTCAGAATTTTCTTGGTGAGTGTAACTGAGTAATGGGTGCAGATGGCAGGGTGTTAAAGATACAGGGGCTGATGATGATGCATTTGCATTGGTAGAAGTCAAGGGAACACTGGAGGAGTTGATGGAAACAGGAGTGGCCCATCCAGTGAGGAGGAGAGGTTTAATGGGATACCTTTTAGAGATTACCTTCTAACATCCTACATTAAAAAAGAAAATTGTTGGGGATATACATAGTGAAGCAATACCAATTCAACAATTTCTACATACACATTTCAGTGATTCTGATGACATTCTTCAAGTTGTGTGTTAAGTGCTTACCCTCCTTTTCTGAGTTGTTTCTCCCCATTAACAAACTCACAGCCCCCTAAAGGTTCTGTCTAGTCTTTCAAGTTCTAACATACCATATTCTCTACTTACTTACGAGGTTTATCATTTTTGACATGTCTTTCCTGATTTGAATGTTAAGATTTATGAGAGAAAGGATTTTTTCTTGTGTATGTTTTCCATTAATTGAGCTGTGCGTCCACAGTAATGCCTAGTACAGAGTTGTTCTTAGTTGCTGTTGAGTTGGTGTCCCTTATATGCAGAGTAGAGCTGTTCCATTAGATTTTTAGGCAGTGCCTTTTCGGAACCATCTATTTACTAAGGTGCTTATTGGTGGGTTGGAACCACTAAATTTCCAGCTATTGGTAGAACACTTGACTACCAGTACTCTTTTGGTAAACAGAGTAGGTGCTCATTACATATCCGTTAATAAACAAAAAGTGAAGTATAATCTATGTAAGATGATGTTGGAGCTGGTGAGAAGTAGTTAGTTTTTGGATATTTTGATGGTAGGGTCAACAGGTTTGCTGATTAGGGATGAGAGAAAGGGGTCAAGGCTAACTCCAATGTTTTGGGCTTGTAGGAGAACGGTGGTGATGTTATCTGAGAGGAGGCAGAGACTGTGAGGGAGGGGTGGGTTCTGGAGTTTAAATACTGAGAGCTCAGATTTGTTTGTTGAAAAGTAGAGACAATTTGATACACAAGTCCAGAGTTAAGGAAGAGGCTTACCCTGGAGATTCAGAAATTTATGAGTCATCAACATATTGCTTGTTTTTAAAAGCCTTGAGACAGGTAAGACATCAAGCGGAGTAAAGGTAGATAGAAAAGCTCTCCTAGAACAGAGCTCTGGGACCTCACAGAGAGGGCACAGTGGGAAAACTAGTAAAAGCCACTCTGGGTAGGATAGGAGGGAACTCAGGAGGAAGTAGTATTCTGAACGCCCAGTGAAGGATGTGACTTACGAGGGTGAAGATTAGCCAGTTGTTTCTTATGTTGCTGAGAGCTTGAGTAAGGTGTGAACTGAGAATTAAGCACTAGATTTAGTAATAAGAACAAGCAGTTTTGTAGAAATTACTTTTAAAAAAGAGCAAAACACTTTCTATGAAATTTAGATTAAGAAAACCACAGCTAAAAATATGCTTCTGGAAAGAGGCCAAGACTAAAATTAAGATTTTATTTTAGATATTTATTATTGTTGATTTTAGTTGTAGATTAAAATATAAATCAGTTTAAATAGGGGATTTTAAAATTGAATATAAAAAGTGACTTCATCTGTGCTCATTGTGATTCAGAAAATGAAAAGGTCACAAAGGGGCATCTTTCATGCTGACACTGTAATCACTAATACTAGCTTTGATTAGCAATCGTCTCAGCATTCGGCATACCCTAGAACTCTGAGATGTAGGATAACGTTCCTAAGATGGAGAACGTTGCAACTTCATACTGAAGAATATCTTCTTGGGTGTTTTAAAGTATTGATTTCCTTCACTTCATTATCAGTTTTCTAAGTACAATATGTTTAAGCACTTTAAGGCAGTAACTTTTTAAAATATGAAGTACCAAGAATTGGTGATTTTTTTGTTTTGCTGCTGTCTTTGATGGTCAGTGTCTAGCATTTCTGTTGTCCTTAAAATTTCCCAGGCAGTACCTTTTGAAAGTGTATTTTTGATTGAGAGTACTTAATGAATAGTTTAATTAATTAATTAATTAACTAACTAACTCTTTTTTCCATTTAAAACATTGTAGGAAGTTGATTTTGAGAATTGTTAATTATAAAGTTGTAACCTGGAACATTTTCCTTAATGAAAATTGTTACTCATCTTGATGTTGTTTAGGAAAATTCCTACCTTTGAAGACAATGTTAGGACCAAGATATGATAGTCAAGTTGCAGAAGAAAATCGATTCCATCCCAGCATGCTCTCAAATTATCTGAAGAGTCTCAAGGTAAGAAGCAAAGCATGTTTTGGTTACTGATTTATCATATTGTGTCTCTCTTTTATCTTTAAATAGCTACTCCCCTAAAACTTTCATATTGGAAGAATTAATAAACTTATAGGAAATTGCAAAAATAGTCCATAGAGTTCTGGTAATTCTTCCCCCAGCGTACTTACCCCAATTATGACTTTTTTTACATAACTATTATAATATCAAAACTAGTAAATTGACATTTGTATAATACTGTTAAGTACCTTATTTTTGTATATAATACATCCTGCAAATGATGAGAACATGCACATAATATGAATAGCATGTATAGGAAACTAAAAGGGGTGGTGTAGTTTGAAAAAAAAACAAACCCCAAACCAAAAACACACGCACACACAAATGTAACACAACCCACTATATAATGCTTGTTACTTGCATAAAAATATGAGTCTGGCAGATTAGGGACCTAATGTGTAGGTGGTTCTGTACAGTTGGTCTCATGCATAGATCCATTGAGGTGGTTATAGAACTGCTTACAGTGTTAGAGTTATGCCCTCTTCCCAGTCCCATCTGTCTCCTCAAGGCTGTTGGGTAATTCTAACTCGAAGGACTCTATAGGGCAGAGTAGTACTGCCCTGAGTTTTTTCCAAGACTTCTTAGTCTTCACTGCAGTGGAAAGCTTCATTGTTCTCCTGAGGTGGTTTCAAACTGCTGACCTTGTGGTTAGCAGCCCAATGTGTAACTCCGTAGACCACCAGGCAACTGCTAGTACTTTCTCTTCCTTTATAGTTTCGTCATTTCAATAATGTTCAATAAGTATAACACCCTGGAGATCTAAGTTGCTACATGCTTGAATAGGTCATTCCTTTTTATTGCTGAATAGTATTAATTATATGGATGTATAATTTTATATCCTCCCATTGATGGACTTTTGCGTTGTTCCCAGTGTTTGGTGGATTTAATGAAACTGCTATAAACATTGTACAGATTCTATGAAAATAAGTTTTCAATTTTCTGGGATATATACTTGAGTATGATCAATGGGTCACATAGTAAAGAAAGTTAGTTTTACAAGAAATTTCCTAACTATTTTCTGTATTGAGTATACCATTTTTGATCCCCATCAGGTAGCTTTTTAAGTGTAAACGAAGCTGTATTTTTTTATATTCTGACAAAATGCTGACTATTAGTTTCAAAGGATTGCCTTAAATGATAAGGCTCATATCATGAGACACAAAAGTTACCACTTAGAATATTTTAATGTTAAATCATCTCTTTTCTCAGCTTAGCATTATGTGAGTTCTTTATTCCATGTAGATCTTTTATTTTTTTGTTACTTAAAGACTTTTTTTGTGGGGAGGCTGGTGGTGTGCTGGTGGCATAGCATTTATTCATTGGGATGTGAACCACAGTGTCAGCAGTTCGAAATGACTAGCCATTCCACTGGAGAAAGACAGGGCTTTCTACTCTCATAAACAGTTTCAGAACTCACAGGGGCAGTTCTACTTTGTACTGTATGCTTGCTGTGAGTTGGCATGGACTTGATGACAGTGAGCTTGGCTTTTGGTTTTATAGACCTTTTGTTTTTATTATTGAAATCAAACGTGTAGACAGACTACTAATAGCTTGGGTTTAGAAGCAAGTTACTCTGGGTTTGAATCCAAGTTTTGTGAGGGAGTTTAAAATATTTTCATATTTTACCTTTTTCGCCTATAAAACTTTGTGCATGAAAAGCATTAAGAACAGTGCGTGCAGAGAATAAGGACCTCGTTTAAATCTGAAAGAAACTTAGGAAGTATTATACTTCATGGAATCGAATGATCCATCATAGAAATAAATGTGTATGTATAATGTGTGTGTGTGTGTCTGTACACACATGGAGCAGCTCTGGTGGGTGCTGTAGTGATTACCTGTTGGGCTGTGATCTGTATGGGCCACAGTTCAAAACTACTAGCAGCTCCTCAGTGGAAAGACTGGGCTTTCTACTCCGGTATACAGTTGCAGTCTTGGAAGCCCACAAGGGGTCTCTGTGAGTCAGCATTGACTCGAAGGCAGTGAGTTTTTGGGTATATATACAAATTTACATGTAAACATACGTTACACACACATTCATGTGCAGTAGGGCAGTTACACCACATAATATAGTTTCTGTTTCCTTAGCTAAAATATTCCTGTGTACTAAGAAAATCCACATTTCCGCTTTTGCCACCACTCTTAATTACCTTCTGACAGGACCTGGAGACAAACCTTGAGTTGTGATCTTAGCTCACTGGGAAACTGCATTATGACATCTAAATCTTCATGTTCAGCAAGACACATTCTTGTAGAAATTAGTAAAACACATTATGACAGCTAGTTTTATTTCTGAATTGTACATTTTTGATTATTTTTGTAGTATGAAAGCTTGAAGTGCTTTTGACCTTTTTTCATAATAATAGAGTCTTATCATTATGTAACCCAATATTGTTATTCAATAAAGCAAAAACAACAGAGAAAACTAGAAAATATAAGAACCTAAAGTGTTCTCTTGTTTTTCTTACTAGAGAGTAAAACATGCTTTAGCACGAGGAGGAAGATGTGTGCATTAATTGTCCCCTTGGCTTCAGTTCCTTATATTTTCTTTTTTGTTTGAAATAAACGTGTGTGTCACTAAAGACTCCAAGTCAATTTTCGTTAGACCCCCCTCCCCCACTTTTTTTATCCACTTAGGTTTTTGGGATAAGGAATCTGGAAGAATTTTAAAATTTATTTTTATTTTGATTTTTTAAAGGAGCATCCTGTACGTATTTACATAGTCCATTTCAGGAAGTGAAATAAACAATAATCATCCATTAAACCTTCCATAAATGTGGTCTCTTTCCACCTCCCCAACTCATGTTTCTCTGTTTTTAGAAAGAAACCTTTATTAGTTTTTAAAGTTAAGCCATCGTTTACTTAGTGGCTTAAAGCAACAACCACATATTTAGCTTAACATTTTGTGGATCTCTGTTTTGGTCTGGGATCAGCTAGGAAGTTCTTCAACTATCATTCTGCGTCTCTGGCTCGTTCTGTTGGTGGCTGGCATTAGTTGATCAAAAGAGACTGAGTTGGCATGATTTTTCTATATTCCACATGATCTCTCAGACTCCATCAGGTTTATCACTTTGCACGTCTAAATATGACTAAATCTGGTGTAGCCTGGGGATGAGATTTTATTGCCAGATTGAATGTGATTTTAATTTTTAAGTTATTTTGGTACCACACGGCTCCCTGAACACAAACCAGCTACTTCATTTAGTGATGAGCTAAAGAAATGATTTTTGTTCTAACCCCAGAAAGAAAAACTGCTATGATTGATTGATTGAGAGATAGTATTACATTTCCAATGAGATATACAAATAAAACAATTTGTACTGAACTTTACTGGCTATTTAAGGGATTTACAAGAGAATTTCAGCTACACATTTTCACTCCATATACTCAATTATTCTGCCTATCATTTATCTTCTGATTTAAAAATAGGTACTGTTAAAATCAAACAGTACTTTAGCTCAGTTAGTAAAGAATATCTACCTTTAACATTGTGCTCTGTTAAGATCTGTCCATATCGGATCAAGTGGCCAACACTAATTTGAAAGATGAGAGAGAAAATTTAGGGGACATTGAGTTAATGTTAATGGGGAATATGGCTAAAAAAATTGTTTTTTGATAAAAAATTTTAAATTTAAGAAAATATCTGAATGACAGCTTTACCATTGTTGGAGAAGGAAGTTGCAAGTTAAAGGGAAAAGACTAGAATAAATATGGTATTGAGTTAGAGTTGGAAATATTAATATGGAATCACTTGTTTTTAAATATATATTACATACACAGGACAGTACATCCACTTGATTAAAACTCCCAAAGTTTAAAAAATTGATATGGTGGTAAGTTACATTTAGCAAAAAAATTGACATTAAAACCATTCAAAGTGTATAATTCAGTGTCCCTACTTACATTCATTGTGTCGTGCAGCCATCATTACTATTTATTTTCAGAAGCTTTTCATCACGCAAATTCAGTACAGATAATCCCACCCTCTTTCCTCCTAACCTGTTACACAAGGCTTTGCAATTTGCTTAAGATGGTATAGTCAGAAAGAGCCACCTATATAAACCTATACAAGCCACCTATATAAGCCAACCTATATAAACAAATGTTGTCATCTAGAGAATGTGTGAATGTGCAGATGTCAGTAAATGCCTGACTAATATATCCATGTCAACTTGTATACACTTGTGTATAATTTACTTACCAATAACCAGCTGCTGCCCAGTGAATTCTGACTCATGGCAACCTACCCCAGGTGGGGCAGAGTGGAAAATCTCTCACCCCTCGACCTGTTTCTGTTCTCTTTCTTCCCACGCAGCTTCTGTAGTGATCTTTATTTTTTCTGCTAGCCCCTGGATTTTGTTTTTTAATGTGTTCTTTTTAAAGCCTTCGCATTTGACTGCAAAAATGTGACTTGAGTTCTTTTTGTTTCTTCTGCTATTTACACCTTTTTTGTGTGATATCCAAGAAGATGAAGGGAAATTGCTGCTCGACACTGCCATTTCTACACTGATTCTGTTCGTTTTCAACCTCTTTTTGGGGATTGCAATTTTACGCTGCAGTGTATTTTTAGGAAATGCAAAGGGTGTAAATCAAATGGAAAGGGGAACTATTTACTCATGTATTTATGGCATAAAGAACTTGCCTCATCTTTTTTTTTTAAAATCAGTTTATTGGGGGCTTGTACAGCTCTTATCACAATCTATACATCCATTGTGCCAAGCACGTTTGTACATAGCTGCCATCATCATTTTCAAAGCATTTTCTTTCTACTTGAGCCCTTGGTATCAGCTCCCCATTTTTTCCCTTCCCTCTCCCACTCTCCCTCCCTCATGAACCCTTGATACTTTATAAATTATTTTTTTATCGTCTTACATGTCTCCTTTCAGCCACTTTTCTGTTGTCCGTCCCCCTAGGGGGGCTGGGGTTATATGTAGATCATTGTGATCAGTTCCACCTTCTCCCCTCACCTTCCTCTTCCCTTCCTGGTATCAATACTTTCATTATTTGTCTTGAGAGGTTTATCTGTCCTTGATTTCCTGTGTTTCCAGCTCATATCTGTACCCATGTACATGCTCTGGTCTAGCTGGATTTGTAAGGTAGAATTGGAGTCAAGATAGTGGGGGGAGGAAGCATTAAAGACCTAGAGGAAAGTTGTATGTTTCATCATTGCTGTACCGTACCCTTACTGGCTCGTCTCTTCCTTGTGATCCTTCTGTAAGGGGATGTCCAATTGTCTACAGATGGGCTTTAGGTCTCCAGTCCACACTCCCCCTCATTCACATTGATATGATTTTTCTGGGTCTTTGATGCCTGATACCTGATTCCATCAGCACCTCATGATCAGACAGGCTGGTGTCCTTCCATGTGGACTTTGTTGTTTCTTAGCTAGATGGCCGCTTGTTTACCTTCAAATCTTTAAAGACCACAGGCACTTTCACTTTTGATAGCCGGGCACCATTAGCTTTCTTCACAACATTTGCTTATGCACCCCTTTTGTCTTCAGCGAACTTGTCGGGAAGGTGAGCATCACGGAATGCCAGGTTATTAGAACAAAGTGTTCTTGTGTTGAGGGAGTACTTTAGAGGCCCAATGTCTGTCAGCTACCTTAATACTTACATATAAATAGATGTACATAGATCTATTTCCCTATCATTATATATAAATATATTTATATATGTACGTATCTGTGTTTAGACCTCTATAAATATCCTTTGCATCCTACTTCTTTGCTCTATTACCTTTTACTTTTCCTCTTGTCCCACTATCATGTTTGGCCTTCATTCAGTAATTCCTCTCGGTTACATTGCTCTTGATCAAGCCCCGCCAGGCATCCTACACCCTCCTCACCATCAATTTTAGATTGCTTGTTATTGCCTTGTCCTGCGGTTTAACACCCACTTTCTTTCCCCCACTTCCCCCTCTCCTGTGTTCCCCTGGATCTGTCAGTCTGTTGTTTTCTCTGGGTTGTTTATCTCGCCTATCTTTGTCTATCTTAATAGACATGCATAGCCAATAATAAGCACAAAAAACAAGACAGCAAAATAACGAAAGAAAACAAAACATCAAAAAACCATCGACAAAAAAAAAGAAAAACCTATAAATAGTTCCAGGTCTGTTTGTTGACCTTTAGG